GGAGAGTGCTGCGTGCATAGGCCAGCACACTTGTACACCAGTGGCGTCCCGGACGCCCACATAGTGTTTATGCATGCTGAACGTATGTGTTGCATCACAATTTGCATATAGCTAGACATGTATATCATATAACAGTGTATATATGACATTATTGTACACCACGTACGCCTGTTCTTCATTCCTGCATGATATGTGGCCTTCCAGGACGGCCACTGGTGTACAGGTGCATGGGAATAGAGACATGTTATGGTCTGACAATGTCTGGATGCTGTACCATACTGCACGAGCCATATATAGCATATAACATTGTATGAATGTGAGTATGGTGGACTATATATGTTCTGGGTACATGCACGCAATGTGGCTATCTGGGAAGCCCACTGGTGCACAGGTGTACCATTCCCAGCATGATGACACAATGTCCGACTAGAGCATAATACCGCATATGCATGTATATACCATAGCGTCGTATAAATATAAGCTTCAGCTCTGTGCATTTCACGAAACGGGTGTACTGTCATCCACCCCCAGAATTGGCACCACCCCCAGGATTGGCAGTTCGCTTTTTTCACCGCGTTCCTCCGTAATCAATTACGACCTAAATTCTTGGCAATGTTGATTGTATGCCCCTTAATTATATAGTTCTAAATTTACAATACATAGAAACATCCCGATAATGAGCTAAGAGCTGTATAATGCGTGTATCAGGCCACTTTTAGAAAAAAAAAAAAAAAAAAAAAAAAAAAAAAGGAAGTGTTGGCGATCGGTTGTTCTTGTGCTAGCCAAATGATGATGTAAAGAAAGTTCGCGCAAGCGCTGAACGTACCTCCATTCTTTGGGGATAGTTTCCAGCATGTTAAGGTTGCTCAAACACTCAGCAACACTGAGGTATGACGGAGTGTCTCTTCGCACATTTCTGTGATCTAATCGCTCCTTAATGTTTTTTAATAACTGTTGTTGCGAGGGCGACCGTGAACAGGACCCCCGAATATTGCGGTGGACTCCGGCTTGGTTCATAGTCCGGATGGCTCCTTCCTTTTTGGGATTGAGGCCTGTTCTATTGTCCGGATGCACCTTCCAAATGGGGTAAAATGCCTGTGTCGGCAAGTCCCGAAATCGTATCGATTCGTCGCTGTCTGAGTAACCAGTAGATACAGAACGCCAGAAGTCTCGGATTCCCGGCGCGAGCCGGAATTCCACATGTCCGGTCCACGGCTGGGGTCCCCAATTGCACATAGTGTATTCGCCAGATCTCGCCAACGCGCGTCAGCCACTCGCCCGTCTCTAAACATCACCAGCACTGTGCATGTACCACTTCACGAGCTCTTCGCCTTAGTCACACTACTGGCGGCTAATGTTTCAATTATATCTATCATTTATGTCAAATATTGCCTTCATGTGTGAACTCCGTCCCAGCATTGCCATATTGTATATGCTAGCATAGTCTACACCTGTGACAAACCGCCGCCTTTCCTGCCGAAAATGCAACAGACAATGATAGTCAAGGGAACAGGGATACATCAGTAACTCCTACTGGTCCTCTGGCGAGCCCTCAAGAACATCATCCGAGTCTGGGCAATGCCGCGACTGCAAGAGCAGCAGCAACAATTGGCCGAGGACTTCAAGTGGCTGGGATGGTCTAACGGGATCAGCACACCAACATGCAACTGTAGCTACCAGTACTGCTCGCCTAATCCTTTGTATATTGCTCGTACCACTCTTCCCGCACATACATACTAGTGCTCAAGAAAAGTTCGACAGGGAGAAAAGAGGGACATGAGGATAGAGCGCGAGAGCATGGTTTCGTTTTAACACAATGCTGATGTAGTGAAAGCGAGCAAGGAACGGTTGCAGATAGTTATAGATATTGAGTAGAAAATGCAGCGGAGACCAATCACAATGACCCGCGACGTGACGAGTTCACGAGAATTGATTTCTTAGGGACCCCAGCCGGCGAGCCGGACAAGTTGAAATTCCGGCCGCCACCGGGGATCTGGTTTCTCAGGTGTCCTCAGTAGATAGGGGCTATTCCTATGTCCGGATTCGGGTCGGGCATCGGATGCAATGCCTGGTCCACGTCCGGATTTTCAACACTTCGACCTTGATGACATTACATGGCA